GGCAGTTTTTCCCGGGTGTGGGTTTTTTTGGGGGGGGGGGGGGGGAGATGGTTTTCAGGGCTACAGTTAGCACACAACCAGAGCAAGACTGACGAGCCCCTCTTCCTCTCTCATCTTCCTAGCAGAGCTGCCCACTTTAGAGCAGCCAAGCGGCTCAGAGGCAACATTCCCAAAAACATAAGCCCTAGGTCAGACGAGAGGTTTGTCTAGCCCACTGCCCTATCTCTGACAGCAGCCAAAAAGAAAACATTTAGAGTACGGGAACAGGCCAAGTGCCCGTGGCATTTCCTTCCACGGCTTTCACCGCCTCAGCCAGGGAAGCTCCCTGAACCAGCCCTGGCTTGTGCTTTGCCACCTGCTGAGGTTTCCCCCGCCGTGCAATCGGTTCACACGCAAAGGAAGAGACGTCTCAGCCTTCAGAAAAAGCACTGCCAGGCCACGGAGGCCTCCTCAGTCATGGCCTCCAGCCCTCTCCTCGCACCGTCCTTGTCCTCTTCCCTGCGGGAAGGGACTGGAAAGCCTCCCTCCTCTGACACGCTGCGAAGAAAAGGCTGTGGCTGACTTTTAGCTCGCAGCTCTTTTAGCCCCTTTTGTTCCTGGAGCAGCAATAGCTTGAGCTATTTTTAAGCTTTCTTCCTGGTTTTGATTGTGTCCAGCCTCTGCTCTGCTACCCTGATCCAGCCAGGCTTGTCTGGCCTCTCCTATGGACTCCATAGCCCCCCCAAAATCCCAGGAGCCCTTTCACAGTTAGGGGCCGTGGCTGCCCCCGTGTAAACACTCTCCCGCTCTGCACAGAGCCAGGCGGAGACCCGACGACACCACCACATCCCCTACGCAGAGGGCAAGGCCCCCAGGCGGATCAGGAAAGCTGGTGTTTGTCAACGCGAATGCTTGGCTTCGCGGCCTTCAGACAACTTATTTTTGAGGGAGCAGCATTCGTGGCTGCTGCGTGAAGGCCAGCAGGGAACGCGAGACGCTGCAGGTCACTTACCACGTTTCCCAGCCTCCTCGGAGGAGGCGCAGTAAGGAGGGCTCGCCGGAGCGCGGTGCCGAGCAGGGAGAAACGGCCCTGCCTCGAGCCTTGGATGCTCGAACTGAAGGAGGGCTCGTCCCTCGGCTGCTCTGTCCTGCTCACCGCAGAGGCAACGATCCGGCAAGAGGTTGTTTTGGCTCCTAGGTTCAGGCTTTAGGAAGGCCGGGGTCTCCCAGAGCCCAAGAGGAGCTGCAGGGGAAAAAGAGCTCAGCCACAGCCGTGGGAGAGTCCTGAGACACACAGCAGGCTTGAGCTGGCAAGGAGGTGCTGCTGGTACGGCAAACCTGTAAACGCTGCAACACAGCTTTCCTGCTTGGAATGACCTAGACGCAGGAACCCGCAGCCCCCCCCATCCTGCCTTTCCAGCTGTAGCAGGGGCACCCCAACAGCAACTCTCCGCAGAGAAACAGCATCCGTGCCACCGCCGAGCACACTGTCAGCGTGCAGGCACCTCCTGGCGGGAAGCAGGCGCCGAGGCAGACTGCCTCACAGCAAGCGCGTGCACTGCCACCAAAAAAAGGCACCAAAGCTGGTGCTTTCAGCAAGAAAAACGTGATTATCTACAGGCCCCATTTCCTTGAAGTACTAGGTCTGGTTTCTCCACTTTCTACCCAGGAAACCCCAGCAAGATTGGGGAGAAAAGGGCTGTTTTCTTAACCCCGTTTCCCCCCTTTCGCACCTGACAGATCCCTGCCGGGAGCAGGGGCAGAGCTGCCGCAGCGGGTGCCCAGTCACCCGCTCAGAGATGCTGGTGTGATTTCTCCGATGAGCTGCTTCAGGGCTGAGACCTGCTCCTCCAAGGACTGGTTCCTCTCCTCGGTGCACTTCTGCTTCAGCTCGGCCACCCGCAGCGCCTTTGCGAGCTCTCTGTTCCCCTCGTGCAGGTCCTCGATCAGCAATCTGCTCCTGGCGTTCCCGGAGAGCTGGGCCTACAGCAGGGACAGCAGGCTCAGGGTTCAGCATCCCTGAGAGCGGGTCCCAGCCGGGCACAGACACGCAGCGCCGACCCCTCTCTCACGCTCACCTCCACGTCCTTGAGCCGAGCCGCTTTCTCCACCAGCGCTGCTTCGGCGCTCCTCAGGTCACGCTCCAGCCCCTCTGCCCGCTCTGCTGCCGCTTGCAGCAGCTGCTCGTGTCCCTCCTGCAGCGGGCAACAAAGGCCAACACCGGGCAGTCCCAGCGCCTGCCCGGCCCCCGACTCCCCCGGACCATGCGTTTCCCAGGGCCCCGCTCACAGACCTTCACGCAGCCTGAAGGAGAGCGTGGGAGCATCGGCAGAAGTGGTGCAGGACGCAGCCAGCATCCTAGGGGCGGGTGCCTTCAGCAGCACACCCCCCACCCAGGTCAGCACCACCCTGCTTTAAGACAAAGCATAGCTTTTCCTGCAATGTTTTCTACGAGAACAAGCCTGGGATTGTTCCCTCTCACTACCTTGCAAAGAAAAACCCTGGAAGAGAGGTAGTTAGGTTTCCTTGGACGCAGTTTCTTGTCCTTAAGTTACAATATGCTCCACCTGCACCCAGGCTGCTTTGACTGAATCACAGCGGCCTGCAGGACAAACTCACAAAACCGCTGTGCTGGCTATGCCTCTGCACAGAAGGCCTAAGCTTTCCTCCTCTGGCCCAAGCCACTGCAGTGCAGGTCTCCCTGGGCTCCTCCTGCCCCCATGGGCAGGAGGTATCCGGCCCTGGGGTAGGTGGGCTCCTGTTCGAGCGCAGGGCGATGACTGTGTTCACGAGGGCTGAAAATTGCAGGGGGACTTGGAAGAGCAAGTCCATTTGCCTTGCGGACTCCCGACGTGTAGCATCCTCCACCCAAACCTCCGGCGGCCTCGAGCAGAGCTACCTCCCGGGCTGGGGGCAGCGCTGCCTCCCCGGACCCCTCGTCTGAGCTCCCCACAGCCCCCTGCCTACCTGGGTCCTGGCCAGCTGCCTGCCTGCCTGCTCAGCCTGGCGGCGGAGGTTTTCCTGGAGCCACTGAGCCTTGCGCTGTTCCTCTCTCAAGCTGGTTTGCAGCTGCTCGTACTGGCTCTTTGGCACCATGTCGTGCATCTGGGCCTTCGCCTGCTGCAGCTGCAGCACATGCTGAGTCTGGGCCAGGCTCAGGCTTGCTTTGGCTTCTAAGAGCTGCAACAGAGAAAAGCCAGCGCCTGGTTTCAGGAACAGGACAGGCCCAGGGGGTGCTGCACAGTGCAGGGGGCTAGGCAGCACCCTCAGCCCCGCCAGCTTTCCCATCAGCACGGCCACATCAGCGCAGCAGGACTGCGGGAGCGGTGCTCGCCAGGCAGCCTGCAAAGCTGGCGACGGAGAGCGCTCCACGCTGGAGAAACGGGCCTGTGGTTCAGAGAAGCTCCCCTGGCTGAGTGCAGGAGCAGTGGGGAGCAGGCTCTGCTGAAGGGATCCTCCGAGGGGGAAGCCCAGCACGACGGATGGCAGTCTGGCGGGAGGCAGAGGGGGTGCTCCTCGCCTGGGTTTGCTCTCAGACACATCCCAGGCGAGCCAGGGTTCAATCCCTGCTTGCACTACCTGTCCTCTGCTTCCTGCCATCAGCGACGGGCAAACCTGCTACTGGGAGACGGGTCTGGACCAGCTTTCCCTTAGGGCTACCTCGGGGGCCAAACCATACTGGAAAGCTGGCCCAGAGCCTGTCTCCAGGGTGGAAGGCAGGAGAGGAATACTAGGAGAGTAAAATAAATCTCGCTCCAGGAGAGGGAGATTTATTGCGCTGCCTTTCCCCTACCCCAGTGGTCTCTGTTCCCTTGCTCTCATCACCCGATTTCCCCCTCCTCGGACACGGCCCGCCTGGGCCATGCTGTCCGTGCCCAGCTCAGTGCAGCTCTGGCCCAGCCCCTACCTGGTCCTGCCGCTCCTCCAGCTCCTCTCTCAGCCGGGCCGTGGCGAACCGCAACGCCTGGCACTCCTGTGTGAGCTGCCTCAGCGCGGCCTCCATCTCCTCCACCCGCCCGGCCTGCATGGCACAGGGACAGAGGGGACACCGCAAGGGTGGCCGTGAGCAAGGACCTGTCCCCACAGGGCCTCCGTCCCTGCAGTCTCACCCCCAAGTTTCACCTGGGCTGGCTTTGGACACATCCAAGCGCGAAGGTGAGTCCCTCTGACCCGCAAAGAGGAAGACGAGAGTCTTTTCAGCCTTGGAAAGGCATCTAACGCAGCCCTGAGGGGCAACGCCGACATCACAGGGACCGCTCTCAGCAGCCTGCAACCCCACAACCCACCGAAGGCCGCCCGGGGCACCCACCTTCTCCTGGAAGGCCCTGAGCTGCTGCCGGAGCAGCTCCATCTCCATCCGACACGCTGCCTGCTGCTGGAAGTGCTCCTGCTCCACCCTCGCGGCCGTCTCCACTCGTAGCCTCTGGCTCGGCCGCTGGACGGGGTCATGGCCAGTGCTGTGGCCGGCTTCGTGGTCACAAAGCTCATGGCTTGGCTGACACATCTTGGAGTTCAGATGGGAGATCTCCCCCTTGCTCTTCTCGCTCTGGCAAAGCGTGAGGACAAAAACTCAACCTGCACATGAAGGTTTGGGCTGGGAAGGGGGCAATGGAGACTTAACCCGTCCCGTGCTGTCCCTGCTGGATCCCCACCCAGGATCATCCCTGTTGCTGCAGGGCCTTGCTTTCACCTAGGACAAGTGCCCCAGCAGCCTGCATCAATACCGAAAGGCACCATTCCTTGGACACTGTTCCCATGACACCGTTCCCAGCAGTAACACTAGGTAACATGCAGTTGCTGACCCATGCTGTGATGTAACCACAGCACAGGTCGCGTGTCGGCAGAAAACCCTGCATCTAACGCCAGGGTGGCAGCACGTGCCACGTCCCATTCCTTTTCCTGTTACTCTCCCAAGAAAACAGACCAGAGACACAGATCTCCTCCAAAGGAGGAAAAGCATCCAGCGCGCAACAGCCTGGCCTAAGTTTTAAGGAGGATGACCTTCAGCGAGGGTCTCAGGCAAAGGCCCTCCCCATTGCAGCTGGCAGCTCTGAAGGGCACAAAAGATCTGCCCAAAACCTAGTTTGTGGTCACCACTCAGGAGGAATCCCAGGAACGGGGTGAGGACTTGACAGCCTGCACCCCTTGCCCACGTTGTGCACAAGGGATCCTGGCCGGCCCTCGGGCGCACAGGTGTCTAAGTGCTCGTGAGCACATGGGCATGAGAGCGGGAGTGAGCAAAATCTCTGAGAGAATGAGTGCAAGTGGGTAAAAATCAAAATCCTTAGAGATTTTGTCACAGGCATTACCTTCCCCTTCTCTAAAATTCTACACTGGCTTTTGTAAAACAATTTTTCCCCACCTGACAAGCTGTAAAACAAAGTTGGTTCTTCAAAGCAACACTGGGTTTGGATGTTTGAAGCAAACATTCCCTTTTTCCTCTGCAAGCACACACAGTTTTTGTCCTGCTCAGCCCTTCGGCCAAGTGCCTGCCAGTTAGCACTGATGGCTTCTTACCGACTCAATTAACTCTTCTGTTTCAGACAGATGCTGCACCTTCTCTCTGCGCATCTCACTCCTGTGCTTCCTGTCGGGGAGAGGAACGTGATCAGCCTCAGCCCAAAGAGCTGCAAGCCACAGCCCCTTAGAAAAGGGCCCAGGTTCGGGGGCCCACGCGTGTTTGCTGCCACCAGCCCCTCACCCTGCCTGACGGAGGTCGCTGCGCCCCTCTGGGCTGCTCCCAAAGAGACCCTGTAGCATTTCAGGTTTCAGTCTGCGACAGAAAGCAAAACCAGGCTAAAACAGATAGAGTCCCGAATTGATTTGAGAGCGGGTCAGGTGTCTCTGCCCCTAGGACGTGACCCAAGCCAGCTCAGGCAGACTGCTGAGGACATCCAAGCGCTACAACTTTGTCAGAGCCCTAAGTCAGGGGATGAAGGACACTGGGAGAACCAGCTTAGCAGGACTCTGGGGACCGTCTGGACACCTGCTTCCCCTTGGATTTAGGGCTCAGTCGGTGCCCCCAGATCCCAAGCTTGCTAAGGCAGCAGTAAGACACCAGCCAAAAGGTTTTGTAGCCAAGCAGCCCATCCTTTTCTCCCTCAACACACCCCTCTCCCCATAGCCTTACCCAAACCTGGCTCCTGCCCCCACGCTCTGGCCTGCCCAAGCCTTTGGCCGACTGGGCCCAGCTTGGCGCTGGCTGCTTTAGACCCAAGCGAGTGGGAGTCTTGCCTTGCTCGGAAAGAAGCAACTAAAAGACAGGTTGAGGCAACTGAAATCTGGCAAATGTGCCTGAGCAGCTGCCCCTTGCACAAGCTCTTCACCAGAGAAGAGCCAGCCTCCCGCGGCTGGCTGCGTCCTCTCTTACTCGGGCTCGCTGCTCTTCTCCTCCGCCACCCTTGGCTCTTGCTGGAGTCTCCTAACTTGATCTTCCTGCAAGCTGCTCCGCTCCAGCAGCCGGCACAGCTCTCCCCTGCAGGGAGAGATGGCAGACTGAGAAACCCATGCAAAAGCCCAGTTTGCTCTTGGCATCTACACACGCTCCCTGCTTTATCCCATTGGCTTTGCAAGGATGACAAGCACTAAAGAAATCCAAGGATCATCCCTCCAACGCATCTTGCATGCAAAACGTGTGCGAGATGGTGGTGAAGAAGGAGCAGGTCTTCAAGGGGGAGAAGAACAAAGGGGATGAGCCAGATTATAAAACAGATCCAGAATGCGTGTCGCTGCCAGTCAGAGGAAACTGTTGTGCAGGCCTGCCAAGGAGTGGAAATTAAGTGATCTGGCTTGTCAAGACACACCCAGCTGGTTCAGCAAGTGGTAAAACCGACCCCCCAACCTCGGTACAGCCACGTCTCGAGAAGTCAGCTCACTTGTGAGGCCTCTGGACTTTTACGGTGCTGGAGATGATGGCTACGAGCACAAACACAAGGTAGCCCCTCTGCCTCGTTGTCCTTCCACTCCTACTGGTAGTCCCAGCCCACCCACATGGCCAGGAGTGCTGGCGCCTGTGGGAAAGCAGCTCAGACCTGTGCTAAATAGGACAGTCCCATCCAACAGCTACTGCAAACCACCAGGTCCAAACGGGATCCAAATTCCTCGGGAGATGACAGGGATGATGATAGCATCACAGTTTGTGACACATCGCAGTGTGGCAGGCAGAGAGCCCGAGCAGGCATGTTTTTGCTCGCTCCTCTAAACAAGCAAGCAAGGGGAACAGCGCACAGACCACGGGCGAGTTTGTTTTCCAGCCAGCGCACGACATCTTTGAGCTGCAGCAGCTTCTGTTTCACCCTGCTCCTCTCCCCCTCTAACTACGTTTTGATAGCCTGCGTGTCACATTTCCCGCCGTGCTGCTGTCTCGGTCCAGGGCATTTTTTCTCTTCTGGCCCTCCGTCACTGGCCTGACATGCTGCTGTGTCTGCTGCATCAAGCCAAACCATATAAAACTTTGCTCTCTTTGGCCTGCTTCCCAAGCACGTGCCCCTATCTATCAGGATCTCATTTCTCCACAAGGAATGCTTTCAGCTTTGGCTCCAGCTTCTGGATCGAGGGGGCCATCCGTTGCAACAGAGACATCTGCGCTCCATCTGCACTGGTCTGTCACTAGATCTTTCATTTCTTCTCTGTTCCTTCAGTGCTGAGGTTGGTTGCAGCAGGGGATTTTGGTCCGTCTCCTCCCCTGACTCTCAGGGACCCGCTCCTTTCCATCGGGAGGGCAGCTCTCCACACTTCTTGTCCTTTCCAACACCAGAGCCCTCAGCCCCTCAATCTCTGCAGCAAACCCATTTCATCCTAATGCTCTTTTTCTACCTTTCCTTCACAAGAGCCAGTGTCTCACACATCTTGATCTTGCTCTTCTTTCATCTTCTCTCCCCTCTACAGCTGCCTCTTCTTCCACCAAGAGACCACGTCCTTTTCCTCCGACTCCCACTGCTGCATCTCCTGGGCATGCTGCTCTCACAGGTCTCCCCTTTGAGCCTTTATCGTTGGGAAATCACCTCCTCTCACACTGATGTTACTGCAACAAAGCCTTAAAGCTGTCCTCCTCCTGGCCTTCATGGCAGCTCTTGATTAAGCTCAACCTCTGCATCTTTCCTTAAAGATAAATAATGTTTTGCTGACGTGTATGGGGTAGCACACGCCACAGGCACAGGCTGAAAAACTCAGTCAGCCCCAGAATGTTTTTATGCAAGAGAGGGAATGCAAAGTTTTCTTTACGTTGCAAAGTCAAGGCAATTACATCAGCGTTTCGGAACGATCCCATACCATCCAGAACATCTCAAAGGCTCTTCCATCGGATGCTGTCAGACAACTCTGAAAGCGCCACACTATGGCCAGTCCCTGTATGAGCCACCAGGGACGGTAGTAACACGGCTCAAACACCCTGCATCGCCCCGTTATTTGCATTCCCTACCTCGCTCTACCATAGACCTCAGTCGAGCTGCTCCCCTTCTCCCACACCTACCTTGTATCTCAGCTCCCTAGGCCTGAAACAGGGATCGCAACCTAGCAAAATCCTCTGCGTGTGGATGACCAAAGGGCACTTTGCTCCTGATAAGACGCAGCAAAGAACACGGGGGACAGTGAGGAACAGCCAGGTGAGAGGCAGGAGAAAAGCTTGTGGCCAGTGGTGGGGTGTGCTGGGAGGAAGGAGGGAGCAGAGAGGGACAGGCACCAGTTTCTAGTCCGATTCCTCTCCAGTCTCTTCCGCGCACCTTTTTTGGCCTGTGGGAAGATCGCGGAACTAACAGCACAGGCACAGGAAGGATGCTGAAACATTTAGTGACTCCATTACTCTCCTGCCAGCCAGGCTCCTTTGGCCAAATAGAGACATTTAGGCTGATTTTTGCTGCTGCTAAGAGAGCAGGTGGTGATCTAACAAGGAGAGGCAGGCTTGCTGAAGGACCAAGGACAGAGAGAGACACAGACAGACAGACACAGAAAAAGCTAGTGAAAGCTGTCTTACTTCCCTCACTGTTTTGGGACACAGTCTGTGCTGAGCACTGCCTTTAACGCAAGAGGGAAGAACACTCAGGGAAACTTTCTAAGTCTTGAAATAAAAGCCCTCACGTAGGGGAAGTTCAGTCTTCTCACTGTGAACAGCTGCAACCCCGCAATATTGCCCAGACTTTCTTCCAAAATAAGGAAGCTCTCCAGCTTCGTGAGAAATTTCCCCAACCCGCTTTGGTATGAGCAGGGGATGCGCCCATCCCCAGCCTCCCACTTAGCTCCAGAAAAGGAACGGTGCCAGACCTTAGCCTCGATCTGTCCCCGCGCTGCATCGTCAGCTCTTCTCCTTCCTGAGCCAGCCGCTGCCCCAGATGACAAATGTCTTCGGTGCGTTGCTGTTCCACCTTGGCCCGCTCCATCTCAAACCTCTCCTCCAGCTCTGGGCTCCACACACACTTTTGCTTTTTCAGGCCATCAATTATAGCCCAATATTTTGCCACTCTTTCTTTCAGGTCTCTTTTCTGCTCCTCCACCTTGCTCATCTCAGCCTTGAACTTTTCCTCACTATCCTTCCTCTTCCTCTCAAAGCTCTTCTTCATCAACTCAATTTTCTGCTTGTAGTAGTTTACCTGTGGGACAGACAGGATTGGGCTTTAGCACTGTGCTCTTGAGAGCCCCCCTTCCCTGCAGTCAGCTATCAATTACAGCCATCTAGCTGGCTTCAGGAACACACTTCATGCAGCTTCGGTTCCTACTGAACTCAGGGCAACAACCAGTTTAATGCAGCAGCCTCTAATAGGCAGATACCAGAGGAGTTTGGTGGGACCCATCCTTTCCCAGCGAGCATCACAGCTCCCCGGTCTCTCCGTGTTTGCAGCACTGGGACCCTGGAGAGGAGAAGGGAGAGGCTGGGCCATCACCCACTGCCGCTCTCTGCTTCTTCCACCCTGCAGAGCAGGTCCTTGCCCGAGAGGTGACAGCGAGGGGCTGCTGACCCCCATGTCTCCCCTGTAAACGCTGGAAAGCGCAGGATTTGATGAGCACAGAGACAAGACTGAAGCAGGCAAAAGGAGATGTGCAGGCAGCTGCGTGCCCCCTGAACCGTCAGCTGTGGGACGATTTAGGATTTACTCTTGCAGTGGCTGCAATGGAAATCCAGCAAGCATCCCTGACCTGTCAAAGAGGAGGAGCGCAAGATGGAAACAGGCCTCTTGCACAAGCGTCCGCTGCTGTCTAAAAGGAGCACTGGGTTCACACTGTCACCTTAGGACATGTGAGTTAAAAGCGTGCCACAAACCTGGGAAGATGGGGCTCCGATACTTCCCACGCTCCCAGGCTTTGCTGCTTCTCCTTTTGGTCCTTTTGCCCTGTAGTACTGCTCCAGCGATGTTGAGCAGAGTTAATCTTTAGTCCCGCATGGGTAGTGAGAACCACACAAACCGTTTGCAATGCGCCAGAGACTCCTACAGAGCCTTTGCCAGCCCATGGGAGCCCTGAACACTGCTCCCAGTTAAAACGGGCAGGGGAATCTCCCAGCAGAGAGAGGGCGTACCACTCTGCTCCCCAGCCTGGACAGAGAGAGACCCCACAACCTTCCTGGAGCACATGCCAGAGCTTACAGAGCAGCCTCTCTGCAGCAGGAAGACGAGATGTCCCCTTTCCCACTCACCAGACAGCTGTGCTGGGAAGCCAGGACATTTCCCTCCACAACCCTGGCCCTCACCTTGGTTTCCAGCTGCACCTTCAGGTCCTGCAGCTGGTCTTGGAGCTGCTCCGTTGTGAGCACCGTCTCTGTGCACGCAGAACTGGGAACCGGAGGGCTGGGAGAGAGGCGGGCTGGGAGAGAGGAGCCGTATGAGGACAGGCTTGCAGAGAGCACTGGGTCCCCTGCCCCTTACACTGGGCCAGGAGAGTCCGAGGGTTTTCCTTGAGATGGCCACAGACTCCTGGACGTGCTGGAGTCTGGACCTCTTGGGGGTCTCTAGTCCAACCTCCTGCTCAGAGCAGGACTATCGTCAACGCTAGATCAGGATGGCTGCAGCTTCGTCCAGTCAAGTCCTTACAACCCCAAAAGATGGAGCTCCTCCACCTATCTGGTCACCAGTCCCAGGGCTGTGCCACCCCTTTGGGCAAGAATATTCTTCGTAATGCTCAACCTGAACCTCTCAAACTCCAGTTTGGGACTATTTCCCCTTTATCATATTGTGCTTCCTCACCATCCTCCTCCACAGGGAAAAGCTGTTCACTGCCAGCTGGCCAGCCACTAGGTCACCACCACCAGCCCTTGTGTTGGAGGAGCCTCCTTCCCTCTGTCTCTGTCACTCTTGACCGTCCGTCACCCCCTTCATCCCTCCCGTGGCTGCCCAGTGCCAGAAACGGCAGCAGTAGCTCAGTCACAACAAGCCACCCCACGCTCCTGCAGAAACTCCAACCACCAGGAAACCTTGCTCCTGCCAAGCAGACAGAGATGCATTGAACCGTCCCGCCCTCACATGCCTGTCGGGCGTTTTACCTCCAGCTGGCAGCGTTCGCTCAGCCCTGCTCTCCTGGCAGCGTGCTTGGGCCCTGCTCTCACGTAGCTGGAGATGCAGCCTTTCCAGCTCCCTCCGCAGCGTGTCGTTCTGGTCCCACAGCACCTGCATCAGAGACTGGTCACAACGCAGCCGTGAAGGTCCCTGGGGCTGTGAGGGAACATGCGCCCGTGGTTCCCAGCAGCCATGGCTACTCGGGGTCTCTCGCAGCGTGAAGAGCTGTGCCTGCCTCGCCAGCATGGCTGGAGAATGAAGCAGAGGGGGGATTTCCTTCCTTTCTAAACAGGCAGAGACAAGATTGTTTTGAAGAGCCAGAGGAGAAATATAAGCCTAGATTGCCATGGCCACTGTTACTGCAAAAAACAGAAGATATTGCCTCTTCCCTGGACAGAGTATGGGGGAAAGAGCCATAAGCCACTGTCCCCTGTACGCACAAGCACACAATACCAGGGGGTTTCTGCAGACGCTTTGAAAGGCTGGACCTCCAGAGACCCCTTCTGACCTAAACATGACCATCTCTAGTGAGCAACGCACAAGAAACACTGTGATCTCAGTACAGCCCCCTTGGGGCCCAGAGACTTGGGCTTACACCCTCAGGACACTCCCAATGGCACGCGGGCTACTCAGCTAGCATTGCTGCACGCAGGCAAAGCAACAACAGGATTTACGGCAGAGCAGGCCCCAAAGGGCCATGCACTTTGAGAAGGCATCAAGTCATATCCCATGCACCATCACTTACGAAACTGGTAGGCCGCAAAAGACTATCACAGAATCACAGAACGGTTGAGGTTGGAAGGGACCTCCGGAGATCATCTAGTCCAACCTCCTTGCTCAAGCAGGGTCCTCTAGAGCATATTTCCCAGGAAAATATGCTCTATGCTCTAGGGAACTTTCAAAGATCCTAATTAATACACGTTATCAGGCAGATCTAGACAAAAGCAAACCCAGTTTGTTTAATCTCCATCCTAAGCAGGAGAACGGAGAGAGGAGAAGGGGGGGCCGGTCAGCAAAGGGAAAGGATAAAACCAAGCGGGTGCCTTCACAGGGCAGGAAGAACCCACCAGCGTTTGCACAGACATCCCTGGAGCAGCTCAGCAGGAGGAAAGACTGCAGAATCAAGTGTCTCTGACCCTTCGCTACCACCGGGAGCAACGCCGTGCTGGATAGCGCTCCTGCACACTTGCCTTTAACAACAGAGGCTGGCTGCTGCATCCATGAAAAGGCTTTGCTGCAAACGCATGGATTTCAGCCCCGGCTGGGAGCTTCTGATAAGTCACCAGCTCTACCCAGTGGTGTTCCCTAATCTCACATAGCACTTGGAAACACACAGACAAGGCGATAAGCGCAGGACTCTGCACACTCAGAAACCAATGCACAAAGCATCCAGCAAGTCAAAACACGCAGGATACGCAAATCAGTTAAAAACGAGAGGGGAAATGGAGGCTGTGCTCATGTCCCAGAGTGCCCAAGGCCCTGGGTGGGAGCACAGTACAGCGCAGTAGGTGCAGCACACACAACACCAACCCCTGGACCACGCACATGCCAGGTACCTGGACAGGCTCACCTTGACTCTCTAGCAGAGTCCAGCAGCACCAAACGTTGGGGGAGTTGTTAAAGTGGGAACAAGGAAGAAGGGAAAAACAAAGACACAGAACAGTTGAGCTGATAAACTGCCTTGCAAAGAAGCAACCCCATGCATCTATGCAGCTCTCCTTGCCTCCAAGAGGAAACACCCTGCAACACAGCCTGTGGCGGTCTGTCCCTACACCCACACAGCTGTAGGGACACAGCCTACATGGCTCCCACGCGAAACAGCCCCTGGCTACAGGGTGGCAGGAAGGGAGCAATCTACAACCCAGCCCTCCTTCCCCGCCACGATCCCAGCAGGGAGACCATCCCACACAGGGTAGCGAGCTGTGGGAGCAAGGAGGGCCTGGCTCTCTTCCCCAGGGGCACAGCTGTGTCCTGCCTCCTGCCAGAGGGCTCTGAGCAAGGCAAGAAAAGATGAATCCTGTCCTCATCCCTTCCCCCCCCCCCACCTCCACACTCTGGCCAGGGCTGCTCCCTCAGTGCCTGACAGATCTGAAGATGACAGCTGTATTTTCATGACAGAGTTGCTGGAGAGCTGCCCATCCATACCTGGCATTGCCGCTCGTATTCCAGGATGATCTCTGCAAAGCGCTCGTCCTGGGTCAGGACCTCTGTGCTGTGGGGCTCCACCTGGCCTAGCTGCACAATGACAGAGAGACACTTCTTATCAAAGAAGTTATCACCTCACCAAACAGAGAGCCACAAGCTTTCCTAAATTGCTGGAGACATGGCCTGGTGCAAAACCCACTGACTCAGGGAAGGATTCCTATTGACACCTGCGGGGTAGGTTGGATGCAGAAAGAGGTGGAAGAAAATGTTTCTTCCCATGTGAGAGACGCCAAACTGCAGGCAGGATAGCTCTCCCAAAGTGGCTAACATCACACATTCGTTTCTTTCCCCACTTCCATTTTACCAGGTACCTCGCTGGAGTGGAAGACACCAGAACTAACCTTTTTCTTCAACTCTGGTGAAGAAGAAAACTTCTCTTTTCTGGAAGCCAAACCCCGAAGTTCTCACTTAAGAACTTCAGATTTGTAGACATTTCTACACTTGCAAACTTTCCTCATGTTTTTTCTTTTGATCTTTGAAGGGCCCAACTTAAAAGCCAACATTTTTCTTTCCAGGCTGTCATTAACAGGTGGGGAAATTCAAAGAGGGGGAGAACCAAAACAACCGACATGTGATACACAAGATTTCCTAGAGAAGAAATCAATTTTTTGATGAGCTCCTGAAAAGATCCTACTCAACCACAACGCAGAGAGAAAGGCTACCTTGTCCTTCAAAATGAGCTTCAGCTCTTTCTGCAGCTCCAACACCAGCTTTTCAGAGGCCACCAGCTTTTCAGCCATCTCCGTGACCTTGTTTTGCAACTGTGTGTTCTCCTACAGATAAAAGGGAGGAGATTCTTCGTGATGTTGCGGGTCCTCACATCAGAGGACGGGTTCATTGGCCACGGGCCCTCAACAGGGAGCTGTAAAGCAACAGGCTGATCGGCGTGCTGAGCCCAGCACAGCTGACGGGAGACCTTGCTCCGGACAGCACAGTGCTGATACATGCCGCGTGGGCTGGGGTTTGGCTCATCTCTCCAAAGGATATGAGCGGGTTTTGCAGGATAAGAGCTGGACAGCCTGTAAACTCGTCTCTACTTCTGCTTCGCAAAACCACAGCTTCCTTCATAGCCAACAGAGGCAGCAAGTCCTGAGCTATCTCTGTCTATAGTAATACACTGAACAGCACTGAGAATGTTCCAGGCACTGGGGCATTGTCTCTGCTCTTGGCATGCTCCCTGGCACAGTTTCAGCCTCAGCCATTAGCTGTTCAGGTGTTACTGTACTGTGGGCCAAGAACCGTTCCCGTCAAACATGGGGATTTAGTAACGTCAGGGCCAGGGAGTGGGCTGTGCATCTAATTCACTAGTACAGATGTGACTGATGATTTTTCTGCATAAAGCACCTAGGGCTTCCCACCAAGAACAAAGACAAGCCATGCATCTTTGTCACCACCTCTACTTTGCCTCCTCTGGAGGAGAGAAAACGTTTCATCCAGGGCAGTTTTACCTCCATTGTGAGGTTCAGTCTTCCTCGCAGGCTGGCCTCTTTGCCCTGGAGGAACTGTGCATCAGCCTCCAGCTTGGCTTGACGGTTGGTCACTTGCTGCAAAAGCAGGTCTTTTGCCTGCATTTCAGTCTGAATGTCCCTGGAACAGACAAGCACCACAGTTTGGGCACCCAAAGACATGTTCACAGCTGGGCACAAGACATCCAGGCATCCCCTCTCGGCACTCACGAAGCAGGAGATGAGAGCTTGGCTGGAGGGGTGTTGGGCCCGCGGGAGAAGCATGCATGGGACAGGGGGTCTTCAGGGACTTGTCTGGCACTGAGGCAATGGTAAAACAAGACGGAGATCCAGGAAGGGATTTTGGAATGGGGGGGAGAGGCCCTAGGCACCCACAGAAAAAATCATTTTCCCTGCCCAACCAAAGGAAAAACCTTTTTCCTCCTACCTGAGCCTGCCCTGGCTGTATTTGTGAGCAGCATAGTGCTCATTCACCTCCCCCATGAGCTGCAGGTAGCGTCTCTCTGCTTCCTCCAAGTCCAGCCTTGCCTTGTCCCTCTCCCTGGAGATCTGCCTCACCCGCATCCTGTGGGAACGGCGAGCAGTGCGTTGAGGGATGGCCCAGGCACCCCACAGAAGGGCCCTCTTTGTGGGGGGCCGTGCCCTCACCTGAGGCACCGCAGTTTGCATTCGTAGGAGGAAAGAGCTGCATGCTGAAGCCCGCTCCTAGGGACCATGAGCGCGTCGTCCAAGGCCTTCGCCAGCTCTGGCAGGCTCACCCACTCCTCTGTGCTGCCACTGAGGCTCTGCAAGAAGAGCACAGACTGAAATCTCTCTTTCCTGCTCTCAATGGTGCCAATAGGGCTTCTGTTGTCACATCATCCAAGCACCCTCCAGTCCTTGACATGACCCCCATGTCTCACAGGGAGGCTTGGATCACATCCATCCAATCCCAGATTTTTCTCCAGTCCTGAGGTGGACAAAACCCCATCATTACAAACCTGCCTGCAAGCGCTCCTTCTTCCCCAGACAGGTGCTTGCTGGAAGGCCTTGTGCTTGCTTCACTCACTGCCGCCAGACAAGGCAGCACTAGAGACCCTGAGGATCTCCTTGGCTCTGCACCACTTCCTGGGGCCAAACAGCAGCGACAAGCTCAGACTTGGCAAATCCAGTGCCGTTGCTGGAGCAGAGGTGTGGGCCCACACAGCTTAGCGGGAAGGACAAGCTGCTTCCCTGCCCATCCAACAAATGCCTGGAAAGAAAAGAGAGCAGTCAGCAGGGCAAAACTAGCAGAGAAAACCCGGAATCTTTCAATACTAAAAAGAGGCTGCAGGCACCCCACAGATACTGGAGAAAGCTCTACAAATAACACCAAGCTGCCAGGAGGTGAGATGTCCTGAACTGTCCCTCAGGCAGCCAAAAGGAGCAAGCGGTAAAGCAGTCTGATCTCCCTAACAACCCAGAAAACTCGGCATCCACAGAAACACTAACACTGGAAGTTATATAGTATCAGATGGTCTTGTGAAAAACATCAGACTAGGACTGCCAGACAACTTTTTGTTTGATCTAGGAGCTAAAATTGGGCTGGAGGCAGCTTAACTCTGCCTACTTCAGAGGCAAGCGCGATTCAGCCAAACTGACCCAAAGAGCAGCACCCAATTGCCAGAGACCCCATGCACAACTGGTAACATCTCCAAGAGTACCAATTTCACACCAAGTTTGGATGCCTTGCCTCACTCAACACTTACCTCAAAGTTGTAAGCCAAAAGAGCCTGAAACGCTTTGTGTTAGTTTAAAAGAGTAGTTTTGCCCAGGATCCTGGATGGAGCTCCTCTGGCTGCTGGGGGAATCAGCTATTCACTTCTGCCTTAACGCACTGAAGTTGCAGTTACTTCTAAAGCATTTGCAAACACCTTGACAGTCCCTGGGATTAAAAGCACTAAGCAGAGAGAAATATTTTACATCAGTTAAAGCGGGATGAAGTTTGCTCTGTGCACTAAACGGGGGACAACCTTAGTCAGGAAAGGTGCAGAGATGTCAGCACTTCTGAAGCCCATGTTAGAATTGCGGTCATTTTTCCCCTCTGCCATGAAGTGCATTCCTCTCTCTCCAGTAAAAAAAAGAGGCTTGGCAGCGCTGCGTTATTCTGTATTATCATCCCGATCCACCTGCACAGGGTTTTAACTACTCAGACAGCTCTGGAAGGAGTCGTTTACTTACCGTACAGCGGTGAAGTCCAGACCATCCCCAGCAACTGCCCGGCAAGTGGAAAACTGTCCCCAAATCACTGCCCTCAGGTGCCCAAGTCACCTCCATTAGCGGCTCTTAAATCAGCCCCTCGTGAAACGAAACATCTTGGCCTGAATCACTCTCAGCAGAGCCCCATTGTTCAGCCTCCTTTTTGGGGGGGAAAAGGACAGAGAAACCTTCCCAGGCATGACAGCTGGATTTCTGTCTGGATTCTCTGCAGGACGTTTGTGTCACACTGCCCTTACACACTGTCCTGCATAAGGAGCTGGCAATAACTTGTGGATCCTGATAATTAATGGAAATCACCTCCAAGCAACTGCAGATCAAGGCCTTGAACCAGGATCTTTAATTTTAAAGGAAAGCCTTCTTCCTTTAAACTCATCTCGTCAAGCGCTAACAGCCTTGGCTGCTTGAGAGGCGTTGGTGTACCCCGGGAAGAGAGCGTTGCATGGCTGAAAAAGCCAATCTGGAACTCCTCAGTGCTCACTCTGCCATCCTTGTCCAGTTTAGTGAATAAATCCTTGAGTTCCTAAAGATTGAGGTCAAGAGAAGAGAAACCTACCAGCTTCAGAAACACAGCTGCAAGCATCCAAACCAGCTTCTTAAAGGAAATCCCATTTTATTTTTTGCAGTGCAAACAGAACACACAATTAAAAAACCCTCTTTGAAAATTAACACTGCACTTCTTCCATGCACGTACAAAGAATCAAACTCCTCTCCGCCAAGCCTGAAACACTAGCCCAGTGGTGGATCCACACAAGCATGAAAACCATTTGAACCCTGCTCCGGTTCTGGGAGAGAAGGGATTAAGGCCCCCATGCCTACCCCAGGACCCCAAAGAGATGTGCGTTCACCCTGGACATAGCCTTTCATCTTGGAAACGGCAGAATCTTCTCAGATGCACAGCGAAAGGACAAGATGTAACAGGCACAAGCTGCAACAAGGAAAACCCTGACTGGCCATAAGGAAAAAATTCTTCCACCTGAGTGTAGTGCATCCCTGAGACAGGTCCAGAAAGGCTGTGCGGTCTCCATCCTGGGAGATGTTCAAACCTTGACTGGACAAGCCCTGAGCAACGTGGTCTAGCCTGGAAGCTGGCCCTGCTGCGGTTAAGAGGACTAGACCAGAGGCCTTCAGAGTTCCCTTCCCACCACTACAGAGCAGCTCCTCTCCAGAGGAAGCTATCTCTGCCTCCAGGGAAATGAAGCTGTGCTGGAGTACACCGGCTGAGGACCAGTGCCTGTGCTCTGCAGGATGCAAAGGTTGCTTCGGACCATCATTTCGACTGTACGCAGTCAATGCACAGCAAATCCCCCTGCCAGTCCTCTCGCAACAGGCTGGCTCCCAGCCTTTCCCCCCTGCTCACCTTCTTCCTGAGCTCCTTCAGCCAAACGCTCTTGCAGACCAGCACCAGCCGAGGAATCCCTTGCCTCCCACACCAAGCGCCTCCCGGAGAGCCTGGACTTGAGCCTCAGCCACGTCCAAGCAAGGGCTGGGCACACGGCAGGGGCTGCAGCCTAGGTCAGGCTTCCAGGTGAAAACATGGTACGAGTCTGCCGTCCTGAAAACAGCCTTCCCACCACGTTGCCAGGGCCTTTACCGCTTTCACCCGCTTCGTTCGCCTTCGGGCTCTGTAAAAAGAAAGAGAAAAGAACGTCAGCCGCTCTCTGCCCCGGGGCGTGGGTCACGCACCCCAAACCTGCTGTCACTCCTCAAGGGTCCAGTTCCTCACAACCGTGTCCGCTCGCAACTGAAGCGGTACCGACCCACGTTCACCTGGTGCACCCCAGGCACCCTCAGACATGCTGGGCCTGGAAACACCCATTTTTCCATGACAGCTCTGTTTCGGCACGTCAAATGGAATTCTAGCTCAGGACTCAACGACCGTCCTGCCAAGTAGGAGAGAACCTTCCCCCGTGAGAGCTGAAGGGTTTGTTCAGAGATCAGCCAAGCAGCTGTCTAGACTGGTGGAAAGAGGACGAGGATGAAAAAGAAAAATCACTGCTGAAGGAGGAGAAAAAGGGGAAAAGAAGATGGAAGATGTAAATCTTGCTGAAATCCCAGACAGGAACGGAAGACGTGGGGTGCAGCACGCCCAGATCCAAACCCTCTGCCCCAGAAGCAAACCTGAAGACCCAGCTCTGTCAAAACGGGACCCCTGCTGCCTGCAGGACACGGGCAGAGGAACGGCAGGGACAGGGCTGGAGCCAGGCAAAGCAAAGCACGCTTTGCTCTTGGCTTCTCTCAGCTTCCTCTACAAATCTCTTTCTTTTCCCTTGTTTGACACCCCTGGGCTTGCACGGGGGTGATACGGGGGCTGAGAGCCAGCCCGTCCTCCACCCGCACGTTGCTCGGGGTGCTGCTGGGTCTGGGGCAGGACGCCAGGGTGCGCATGGGCAAAGCGGGTCCCACATGCAGGCACCTTCTGAAATACCGCTTTTGAAACAAGGGCGAGCCCCCGCGCTACCTGCAGTGCCTCCACGAACGAGAGATGGCAAAAGCACGCAGGCAACGCAAGCCGTCCGACCGCGGCGTTTCTCTCGGAGCGCCTCAGAGAGGCAGGATTTTTCCCAAACGGCCGGCGCAGAGCGGAGGTATTTTCATCACTCTTTGACGCTGGCCGTCACCTCACGAGCTCACAAGCCACCGACGCCTTCGCCACTCCAGCCCCGGCCTCTCAGCCGCCGGCCAACTCTTTGCAGGGTACGCGTCGGCTGGAAGCCTCTTTCAATGCGTTTTGGGGTACGAATGGCCAAAGCAACGCAAATGAAAACAAACCAGGCTGGGAAAAAGGCCCGTTTTTATTTCCTCGCCGGGAGCACGGCTGCTTGGGGTTTCCACGGTAACTGCCGATTCCTGGCCGGGGAAATCTCTCTGCGCCAAGAGCCTGACCGAGGGCTACGACGCGCCGGGCGCTCAGCACCTTCGGGAGACACCTGGCCTAAGTAATTTTTTTTTTTTAATTTAGGTGTGTAAACACTGATTGACAGCTCCATTCGGGGGCATTTTTTGTTTTCCTTAAGCGGGCTCAGAGCGCTCATCCAGAGCTCATGCTGGGAGAGGAGAGGAGAGGAGAACAGCTCTTCCGGGCCGTTACAGCGAGCGGGAGTCCTGCCGCTAAAAATAATAACAATTAAAAAAAAAAAAACCACCAACAAAGCAAACGCTCAGCCTTAATCGGTAAAATATTTCAGTCAGCAGCAGCAGAAACGCAGCCCCACCACGCCCCTGCCTACAC